AACACTGGCTTCGTGTTACAGCTGGGAAATATAGACCAAAATAGAAAAAGAAAATAGACAGAAAGAAATGTGGCTATTCTTGATTCCTGTTTTGGAAATATTTAGAATGTTAATAAACACAAACTGCTTGAGCAGGACTCTGATTCTGTGTCCTTCTGTACTGGTCCAGTAACAGTCCAGCTGATGCTAAAACATCACTGCCGTCATCTGCCTTTTTTAACTCTTCTCAGAGTCCTCCTGAGATCCTGAGGGACAGCCTGTGTCCAGCCATGTTGATGCCCAGTAAAGTCTGTAAGTATAGACCTCTCCTCACTTTCCCTCTCATGGATTATTACAGTGAAGCTGGTCATCATCTTTATCTCCTCCCCCCACAGTCACCCGTCGCTGCCTTCCTGCTTTAGGAACGATGAAAGGTGGTGTGGTGGTGGTGGGCAATGAGACCATTATTGATTCTGGAGAAGGAGTCAGTATCAACGCCTCTGATGTTCTGGAAGCCTCAAAGTGAGTCCTTTTCTCTACTACTTACTTAAAAACCCCATGTTTATTTAGTTCTGAGTCATAGCTGTGTCAGAAAACCTTACATGGCTGTGTATGTAAGGTGTTGTTATCCACTTCACACAATTGTTCCCAACATTGACCTTTGTGAACCCCCCTCTTCCATGACTCCCCATGTTTACACTTTAAAACATTCAAAACATTTATTTTAAACATTTTCCTGTCATGGAATAAAAACAAATCTGCAAATGTGTGCTTTTTCCTTTATAAATTTTAAGAATGTTCCATGTACATAGAGCAGGAACAAAATTCAACGTGGCTTTAAAGTAGAAACAACAACATAGTGAAACTCGACCAGAGCTCCACTGCTGACAGTCCTCTAGGCAGCGCTGCTCCACCCCCATGGGGGTTGGGTTAGATGCCACTCCCCCGCTCTCAGTCTGCAGGGCTCTGTGGCGCAATGGATAGCGCATTGGACTTCTAGTTACTCTTAGAAGAAGAGATTCAAAGGTTGTGGGTTCGAGTCCCCCCAGAGTCGTGTTTTTTTTTTTTTTTTTTTTTACTTTAGTGTTTAGTTAATATAAATAATTGGGGTTGTGTTACATCTCACTCCAACACACTGAGACTGCAGGGCTCTGTGGTGCAATGGAGAGAGCATTGGCATTCTAGTTCCCTTCAGAAGAAGGTATTCAATCAGGTTGTGGGGTCGAGACCCACCAGAGTCATGTTTTCTTCTACTTTTGTGTTTAGGTAATATAAATGATGAGATTAGATCAGTTTGTCTTTATCACAATAAAATCAAAGTTGTCTCCAAGTCTGCTGTTTTCCTCCCAAAGCCCCAAAACATGCTCTTTAGGGCATTGGGATGATTGTTAACAATAAATTGTCCACAGGTGTGAATTTAGTGTGAATATTTTTAAAGACCTGAGCAGAGGTCCTGCAGCCCTGACTAACAAAAACACTGGTCCATGTTTTTGGTTTTCAAAACAAATATTTTGGTCTCTGAAGCATTAGCTTTTCTTCTGTTTTTCCATAAATGATCCTAGTCATAAACCAGTGAGAGAAAAACCTGTGGTCACTGCTCTGACACCATCTCTCATATTACAGCTCCATGATAAATCACTGCACTGATATGACATCCTGCTAAAGGCTTTTATACACTGATCTATGATCTCTGCAGCCTGCACCGGCCCATTAGTTCTGCTGAGTGTACGGCACTCTGGGGGGTCTTTAATCATTTTTCTACCCAGGTCTTTCATAAAGATGATTAGTGGAACTGTTGCTGCTGGTGGTGCTGCTGCTGCTGTGTTACACCCACTGTAAAATGACTTCACAACATTTTGTTAACTGTTCAAATTTGCTTGACAGGAAGTCAAATATAGCTATGGAAGCTCGGCAGGTGGCCATGAGAATCTTTGAAGACTACACACAGTCCTGGCACTGGATATTACTGTAAGTTTCTGCTCTTCTTCACAACATGTTGGGAACAGCATGAGTGAAGATATTTTACGCTGCAAATCAATAATTATATTCACTGGTTTTGTTGACAATATGTCTGATCTTAGCAGCAGTCAAGGCAAAACGAAGAATAATCCATTAGTTATTGTATGGAAAAGACAGACAAAATATCCACAGATTGTTGTAGAATGATGTTAGACAGAAAATATTCAAGCCTCTACAAAAATAAAGTGGGGGACAAGGGGAGAAGGAAACCATTTTTTATTTTAATTTTTGCATAAACATCATACCAGAATTGGATTATCTTAGCAAAATGTGCAATTGCTAGTGAATTTGAATGCCTAATGTGGTGCACCGTAAATGTTGTAATGACCTTAAGTTTGAAAAGAGTGTCCTCCTTGTCCAGTGGTCTGGTCATAGCCATGCTGGTCAGTTTGCTCTTCATCGTCCTGCTGCGATTCCTGGCTGGAATCATGGTCTGGATCATGATCGTGTTGGTCATTCTTGTGATTGGCTACGGTGAGTCTTTAAGATGTTACAATTTTTCTAAACTTAAATTTTAGACAAACTAACACTCTTCACACTGTTACAGGTATTTTCCACTGTTACATGGAGTTTGCCAGTTTAAAGGGAGAACCTGGGGCTGACGTCACCATCCGAGACCTTGGTCTGCAGACGGACTTTGCCATCTACCTTCAGATCAGACAGACCTGGCTGGCTTTTAGTGAGTTCAGCAGTTTTTTTAAAACCACTTTGTTGAGAACAGCACTGTTACTGGAGAAAAAGAAGAAATAAAGCAAAGAAACTTAGAAGTTTTACTTTTACTGCTCTTCAGTGATCATCCTGGCCATAGTCGAGGTCATCATCATCCTGCTGCTCATCTTCCTCAGGAAAAGAATCCTCATCGCCATCGCACTCATCAAAGAGGCCAGCAGGTGGGGTTCAGACGTCTGGATGTGATGCCTCTTTACTTCTATTGACTTTATATCTGGGGAAAAATAACTCTTATTGGAACCTTTATTTTTCAGAGCTGTCGGCCATGTGATGTCGTCCCTCTTCTACCCCCTGCTGACCTTTGCCCTCCTGGCTGTGGTGATTGCCTACTGGGCCATTACTGCTGTGTATCCACTTAAGTTTTGGATAATTGTCGATAATCTGAAAAACTTTTTTTATCCCTCTGTCATTGTTAGTGATGATTAACATCTTTGTATAAAGGAAAGTCCTTTCTTTGCCATCGTCTCCTTAACAGTGCTGCTCAGGTTCCTGTCCACCTCCAATGAGCAGGTTTACAAAGTCTTCAACAACTCAGAGTGTGAGTTCTCACTACAGACCTGTGACCCTGCGGTACGTCCTGACACCACATTACCACATTACTGTTAAATGAATGTTAGGAAAGTGAGTGTGAAGGCAGTGTGTACAAGTGCTCTTGGTACAAATGTGAAAAAAACACGTGACAGTTTCTGTGGTTGTTAACAGTCACACACTGTCTGTGAATCCTGGCCACAGTTATCAAATTATTTATTTTACCAAGGATAATTTTATTTATTTTTCTCTGAGTCACATTTAGGTTTTAATGTTCAGTTTGGACACAAACACAAATATTCATAGAACAGCAGTACTTCACTGTCTAAACCTAGGACATTGTTCTCACAAATTGATGACTGTATTCTCATAAACCTACTTTCTTCATCATCATCACAATTTCATCCTTGTCAATTTAAGACCTTATTTTCACAAGATTTGAATTTGGTGCTCATAAATGTATTACTTGCAACGTTACGAAAATCATTGTTTTTAGGATTCGTTATAAAATGCAGAACTAAGAGGCGCGGTACCGGTTATTTCCGGGACACTAAGGGGGGCGGACACGCCGCTCAACGAAAACAAACATGGCTGACTGCAGATATACGGTTCGTCGTGAGATCCGACCAACACTCTTTAATTTAAAAGCTGACGTAATGAAACACTCCAGATTTCTTCACTGTCGACGGTGGAGACGAACTGGACCAGAGACATGTTATATGTAAGAGATGTCCCGCTAAAATAAAAACTCACGGAAACCGTTTAATGTTTTCGAAACTTAAAAGGAAAAAACGTACATTATTTTAGCTACTGCCACTGAATACACATTTTAATTAATTACCCTGTTTTTGTGCTAATTTATTTTAGGGCACTTATGTTGAACAGCCATTTCTACAAAATGCTAGCGTTATATTGATTATTGTATTGCATATATTTTGTTGACTGTTTTTGTGTCAGGACACATTTTAACTTCAGAAGATTCAGGAAAGCTGTTACCGTTGTTTTGTTTTGTTTTGTTTTTTACAAAATGTTTCGTGGTTGCATCATTTTAACTTTAACTTTTGCTCGCATTTCCATAAGGTTTAATAAATATGATGGAAATTAATTTAACTCTTATTTCTCATGACAAATTCACTGTTTTTTAAAAAATGGCAAGTAATGAATGCTGTGAAAAAGTGAATCAATATACGTAATTTAAAGATGTATCAGTTATTGTTTCATAATCAGATTGTAGACCCTAAATGCAATGGAATGGTGCTCAAAGATTCCCACCCCTAAATATTTTCATAAATATAAAAGTGTATTATCTTAAACTAAATTTTGCATTTTCTTCTTGTAAATGTACAATAAATAACAATAATTAACATTGTTCTCATTAATTTAGGACCTTTTTTGTCATGAGGTATTGATTTCATTGACAGAACTATTCTCTGACTCTTTCTGTTCCTTATACTGGAAGATTCTTGACAATTCTAGTCCTGACTTTTTTTTTTATTTCTCTGTCTCCAGACATTCAACACGTCCAACGTCTCGGCTCAGTGTCCTGATGCCGAATGTCTTTTTGCGTTCTACGGTGGAGAGACCCTCTACCACAAATACCTCATCCTGTTCCAGTTCTACAACGTTTTCCTTTTCTTCTGGTGTGCCAACTTTGTGACGGCCCTGGGTCAGGTGACTCTGGCAGGAGCCTTCGCCTCCTATTACTGGGCCTTTAAGAAGCCAGAGGACATTCCTACTTATCCCATCTTTGCCTCGCTAGGACGGGCCCTCAGGTGAGAGCCGTTTCGTGGATTAGCACTTTTTGTAACAAGTCTGCACATGCGTATGTACCAGAGAGTTGTAGTTACCTTTTCATATTTATAGATTTAGAGATGTTAAATCCTTAAAGTCCTTATTTTCAAATTGTTATTAAAAGGAATGCTTAAAGTTATAAAAGAAGAAAGCAGTGATCCTCACATTAAGCATGGATGAATGAGTGTCTACAGATTTGTTTGTTATTTTAATCAGGCAGCTGTCCATCAGTTAAAATGCTTGGGTTTAAACAATAAATATTTCAGTTCATTTGAACTGTGTGTGACTGTGAGGAGAGAAGGTCAAACTTCTGCCTCCATTAAAGTTAAAACCGTCTGATGTTCACAGCAGACTTCTGTTTCATCTCACCCCCTCTGCTGGACAGGTACCACACAGGCTCTCTGGCCTTTGGTTCTCTGATCCTGTCTGTGGTCCAGGTCATCAGGGTCATTCTGGAGTATCTAGATCACAAGTTGAAAGGTCAGTCGCTGAGGGACGTCCTGGTGGTCGGAGTATTTCGGTCATGCTTTCGTGTTTAGGAATTAATATTTCCATGTCTCTTTCCATCTCCAGGTGCTCAGAACAAATTTGCCAAATTCCTGCTCAGCTGCATGAAGTGTTGCTTCTGGTGTCTGGAGAAGTGCATCAGGTTCCTCAACAGAAACGCTTACATCATGGTGGGATCTGTCCACTGAATTAAAGATTTTAAAAAAATAAATAGTTATTATTTAAATCATTATTATTATTTTCTTTTCTTAGATCGCTGTCTATGGAAAAAATTTCTGCACTTCAGCTCGAGACGCCTTCTTCCTCCTTATGAGGAACATCGTCAGGTGGCTCTTTGTTCACAGACCAGTGTGTAAATTTAAAACTTAAATGGTTTAATCTCACAAACTTCTTTTTCTGTCTTCTCTTCTTAACAGAGTTGCTGTTTTAGACAAAGTGACCGACTTCCTGCTGTTTCTTGGAAAACTCCTCATCGTTGGCATCGTTGGTAAAAGACTTTTTCTTTTTCTTTTTTACATTAGATCAGCCATAAAAGGAGTGAATCTGGGAATCAGGTCAGAATGATTTACAAGAAAAACATGTTCGCTTTTCTACGGAAAGAGTCAAAGGGTTTTTAACTTGCCCCCTGTTGGACAGCAATGGTACTACACTTTTGAAAGATAACCCCCTTATATTTAAAGTAAAGATGAAGCCTGAGGGTATGGCTAGATTTTTGGCCAGATACTTCCCACAATTCCCGGTTGCACAAGGTCCACAGCAGTCACGGGCGTTTGGACAATCTGCATGCAGACATCAGTGAGTGTGTGTAGAGGTTACGTACAAAAATCGGAATCTCTGTAGTGGTCCAGGGATGCGGGAACTTTTATTGGCCAGTCCTTATGACGTAGTGTGATGAAAAGGCAGTAGAACACAGGAAATAGCATGAAAAAACAAAAACTAACTCAAACTGAGCAACAAGACCTGCAGAGTCAACGTGGCCTCCGTTTGACTACGGAGGTGTTCATCTGTACTGTGTCTACTCTGTGCAGGGATCTTCTCTTTCTTCTTCTTCTCTGGAAGAATCAAGGCCGTTGAAGATGCAGCTCCATCTCTGAACTACTACTGGGTGCCAATATTGGTGAGGTTCTGTTTGATTACTGTGTCACTCTGACCTGCGGGGCTTCACACCACAGCACTGTTTATGACCTGTGATGTCTTAATCCCCCAGACGGTGGTCGTGGGATCTTACCTCATCGCCCACGGCTTCTTCAGTGTTTATGCCATGTGTGTGGACACACTCTTCCTCTGCTTCTGTGAGTACCTTTGGATTTACGTTGCACTTTAAGTAGTCTTCTCCTGAAGTTCTTTTTCTGCCTTTAGTACAAGGTTCTAACACTGAGCTGCTGTTTTCTTCCTGCTGTGTTTCTGACTCTTCTTCTCTTTGTCTCGTCTCTCCATTTATTTCCTTTGTCTTTTTGATTTCCTCCCTTTATTTCACTTTATTTCACATTTTAAATTCCCCCTCCCATTCCGTTAAAACCAATCATCCCATTCCAATGCTCCACAATCATATATCCATACACTAAAAAGGCGAGGACCTGGAAAGAAATGACGGGTCTTCTGACAGACCGTACTTCATGTCTCCTGAGCTCCACGAGATTCTCTCCAAGACTAAAGTGGTGGAGGAAGATCACGATGGCACTGAACAGGCAGACGCTGCGAAGCAAATGGACGAAGTGAAGCTGGAGGAGGAAACACCTCTGAAGCAGCAGCAGGATGGAGAAATCCAACTGACACAGCAGCCAGTCCTGAAGCAGAAAAATGAGGAGGAGCAGCCGCTGCAAGACAAGACTGATACTGAAGAACCCAAGGAGGAGAAGAGTGATGAACTCACGGCCAATCAGACAGAAGAAGCTGAGAAAAAAGAGGAAGAAGAAGAAGAAAAGCAGGATGAGAAGACAACCGAGCCGACGCCTCCTGCTGTGAAGGCTGAGGAAAAGGAGTCTGACGCAAAGGAGGAGAAGAAGGAAGAATCCCAGGGTGAAACTCCACCCTCGGCTCCGCAGGAATAGATCCAATAACCTGTCACAGCAAAAAGAAGCGAGGCAAATAAAACCTCATAAATCCTTAAGAATGAAAGGACCGTCTCCGATAGTGTTGTGATATGGACCTGCTTAATGTGTGGCAAAAAAAAAACCAAGCTAAAATTCAGATGGCTCTCTGAGTGGTGTGATGTCTGGGTGGAGAAGGTGTTGGTCAAGGTGGGTGGGTGAAGACGGTGAAGCAGGTCAAAAGCCCAGTGCGTCTCTGTAGCTTGAATTTAAAAAAAACTGCTCTGTGATGTTGGTTTTAAACAGGTGTTTAAGTAACACTTTATATCAAAGTACTCAGAACTGTTGACTAGCTTTGAAATTACAACTCAAAATCCTTTCTGCCTTTTTCCCAGCGTTAACCCAGCAAGTAAATAGTCTCCCAAAAAAAAAAAAAAAACCCTAAATCTTAACGTGAATTTTTTTGGAAACTTGAGAATCCGAGGAAACGCGTTAATTAAACTTCACTCACGCATGAGTAAGTTTTACAACACTGAAAAAAAGTTACTGCGCCCCAGGAATGTTAGCATAATTGCAGTATTTATTTACTGTTAGCCTAACGCTAGCTCAGAAAAGTAGATAAATAAATTGCACTAAGATATAAATAATAATAATAATGAATAAGGACTGTTAAAGCTAAAATGGTCTTAATTGGTTCAAATAACCACTACCATAACAAATCTCAGCCAAAGCAGCCAGGATTTTAGGTCAATTGCTAAAAATGCTGAAAGCTGTTAGCCTAAATCCATCTAACAATCTTTGAAAGATTTTACCTTACAATAACCAAAAATGATTAAATATATTCATATATATATAGACCATCAAAATTAATTTGTCACCCTGATGGAGACAAAAACGTTTAAAAAAATAGTTAAAATAAAATAAATTTACCATTTAGGTGCCAAAAACTTGACCTTAAACAAGACTTTGTGACTGGTCAGATCTGGTCAGACCTGCTCTGATGATGGGATGATGCAGGATAAATAACAAAGAAGTGATGGTCCAGTTCACACCTGAATATAAAGTGTTACCGTTTTCTTATTGTGACGATCTGTTGAACTTTGTGAGTGTTGACTCTGTGCCTGGTTCCTGTCACCGATGTTTGTCGTCTTAATCCTGTCAAACAGCTGCACCTGTGGTGCTGTGTACAGTCAGAACCAACACCATCTGCAGTGCGTCCGTGGTGAAACCTCTCCTTCACTGTTTACAATAAAAACCAGCTGAGGCCAAAACCTGACACATGTATTTGATAAACCACCACTGGGTCTTTTCTCCCTCTGGGTCTTGTGTGTATATATTTACATGTATACATATTTGCAGTCGTGTTTGCCTATGATGTTTTTTTTTTTTTTTTGGCTTCAGTCTCGTGCAGATCCATCTGGTCATGATGGGATCCAACATGTATTGTATGGTCACCTCCTTGCCTTGGTATTTCAGACTGCTCTCAGTGTCTGTGGTGCAGCGGTAGTGACCCAGTGAACCCCACGTACCCACTGTTTACTAACCACACCTACCTGTCGCTCTCTCTCTCTCTTTCTCTCTCTCTCTCTCTCTCTCTCTCTCTCTCTCAGTGCTGCATGGCGTCGACCTGACCTTCTGAATGCTCGTACACTAACATCTTAAACACTTTTGGATGCTTTTCTATCTCCTACTCTTTGTTATCTCGTGACAACTGTATGCTGATTTTTTTCAAATGAAATTACTGATGACATTCCTTATTTATTGGCTGTGAATCTTGATTAAAAGTGGTTGTATTACAATCGTGGGATGTCTTTGATGGGCCAGCGTCTGTGTGTCTGTAGAGAGTTTGCTAACAGAGAGACTGGTGACCCTGTACAGTAGAACTAGTTCCTGCAGTGGGCCTAATTATGTAAACTCAGTTACAAACTCAACAGTAATAATAAATCTCTGGTCATGAATTAGCATGGCTTATTGTGGTGCAAAGGATAGCTCCTCGGTAGTATAAATAATCTAATAATCTTATTAGGAATCAATTCTCCTCTTCATGTACTTGTGTTGGAGTACTTCTGCGTTTACACACTACTTCAGAGTAGTTCCGTGTCAGGAGGCTGTTGATGAAATGTTCCTGAACAGTTTTTGTTGATTGTCACAGTGGAGGACCTGGAACGAAACGATGGATCAGTGGAGAGACCGTACTTCATGTCCCAGAACCTGCTCACCCTCCTGAAGAAGAACAACGAGAAACCCAAAACTGTGGACTAAATCACTCTGTCTGTTTGCGTGTGAGAGTGTGTGTGTGTGTGTGTGTGTGTGTGTGACCCATGTGCCATTTCCTGTGCTACACTTTATTGTAGACACAGAGTTTTGTGTTTTTTCGGTCATCCTCTTCCCAGTGTTTGTACATTTCTGTGTCATGTTGTCACAACACCATTTTATGAACTGTGTTGTTTTTTTTATTACAGAAGGAGTTTGGAGGCTCGACTTCCATTCTTAGAGACGTAAGAACCTCTGGTACGTCCACAGGTTCAGTCTCTGTGCATGGTTCTGGCTCTGCAGATATCAGCTGTAAATGATTTTTAAAAAGTACAAGAAAAGAAGATACAACACAGTATACATGTCAAAGGCAGTAAGAAAAGTGTTTACTGTAGGTATTTGAAGAACTTAATTGCTTTTGTATTCATGCTTTATCAGTTTAACCAAGCGTATTGCACTCCGTTAAACAAACTCACCAAAGTTTTTCAGCTGAACAAAAGTTAAACTAGATGTCTTACAGCCTTCTGAGATTATTTTTATTGTAACGTTTACTTTTTACAAAGCCGTTGTTCTAGTTCCATTTGATGTAAACATATCAGTTGTTCACATTCAAAGTTGTTTTGCAAGACTTTTTACATTTCCAGTTTTAATGTCAAACTAATAAAATGTTGTTTTCCATCAACAGTGTTTTTGAAAAAAAGATGTTTTTTGACTGGGAAATGTTGACTGAAGACCCCTGATTTAAAGTTTAATTTTTAGTGTCAAAGCTTCTCATCATCATGACTGTTTCTTTAAGCTTCTCTCAGCACTAGGTTTACGTGTCTCCATGGAAACGCAGTTCACAACAACAGCACCTCCTGCTGTCTGTGTTGAGGCCTAACGAGCGAAGACATTTCTTGTAGTTGTTTTGTTTGAAAGTAGTAAATATAAAGATGTCGTTTGGTGCAGACGCCATTAAAAACCCGCTGCATGACAAAATAACGGAGATGCAGAGAAAAATCCAGCTTCTGGGTGAGTTAATTTTTCATTAATCCGATTATTGATCACTTATGAGAGGCGTCACGTTTAAGTTAATGAGTTATTATTCAAGTTTAACTGTCGACGATATGCCAAAGGAGGAACACAGACTGCTAAAACGATTTTAATACCAAGTATTCTTTTTGTACGTGTATTGTTGGTGTAATGGTGACTACTTTGTCCACTAGAGGGCGACAGAACCGCATACTACGAGAGCTCTCAGTTGACTATCAAGAAAAACAAAGAAAGTATTCAACAGCTGAGGCAGGAAAACAAGAAGCTGCACAGAAAACTGGCCAACGCCAAAGCTGTGAGTAATCAATAGAGATTTTTTTTGTGATACAGATGATATATATATATATATGTATATATATATTTTTAAATATAATATCCAGTTCATCAGGAAATGGTTTTATTTCAGTTCACAAAAGTCTGGCTTTCAGTTGTTTTGCTTTTTTCTCTAACCACCTTGTCTGTCCGTGTGTTTCTTCTAAGGGGGATGAACATATCATCAAAGCAGCATTTCAGAACAGAGGTTCAGAGAAGCACGCCTTCCGCAACATGTCAGGGAAGGTAAGGAGGAAACCCAGAAAAAAATTGTATGTGTGAAGACTCTTCTGCAGAGAAATAGAGTTTTTGTCCTTTTCCCTGAGGTGGCCCTGAACACTATGGATCAGAAGGTTCTGTCCAAGGTGAAGCGTCTCAACGCTCTTAAACACACCAGCCACAGCTACCAGCAGCGGGTGGAGGAGTTGAGGGAGGAGTACAAGAGGAGGGAGCCGGAGGAGAGCAGTGGAGCTCTGTCTGCTGACGCTCACACTCAGAAACAGGAGGAAGAAGCCATGGTATGACTGGGTGAACTGCTCCTGAATGATGAGATCAAAGAGAGAATTAAAAACCCTTTATGATGTTTACTGTTCTTTCAGAAACTTCGAGCGCTGGAGAACAGTCTGGAAAAAGCTCAGTTCAAATGTAAAGAGGCTGACAACATCTTTAGCAACTACCTTAAACTCAAGTCTCACCTGCAGGTTTGTCCACGTTATTGCAAAACGTAAAAATGTATTTCAAGAGGGGCTTTCCAATAATTTCACCGTCCAATTTCCAATTTGTTTTGGATTCTTTTTTGGGGTTTTGTTTTGATTTATTTAAGAAAGTCAAAACTGGAAAAAGTATTTTATATGATTTTAGCTTTGGGAAATGGTGGCTTAGTGGTTAAGGAAGCGGAGTTAGTTCTGGAAGGCTTCGAGTCCACCAGCTGCCAAGTTACCACTGAGGTGCTCTGAGCATGTCACTGCTCCCTCCTTAAAGCTGCCCACTGTTCACTTTGGTGATGGGTTAAAAGCAGAGGTCACGTGGTTGGTTGTGTGCAGTGGTGAGCTGTGTCACAATGACAAGGAGTTCACTTTCCATTCCTTCCCTTCCTTCCTTTGGTTTTGACATTTTATGTCCTTTGGCTTGACCAACTTTAATAAACATTTGACTCACCACGTCCAACCTTCACCACCAGACCATAAAAAGTGCCCTTGTCAACCATTAAGATTTATATCTGATTTGCTCCCTCACTTTTGCACCGTCACCCAGGATGAGAGTCTGACGTTCCAGGGCCAGTTGGACCAACTGGAGGCAGAAATCCTGAGGCACAGAGAAGAACTTGAAGGCCTGCGAGTCATGAACAACAACGCTCAACTCTCTAAAGAAGCTGCAAAGGTGAAACTCTATTAGAATGTGTTTTAGACACATTCACACTCATTCACGTTAATTCAATGTTAATTCAATGTTTTATACACTCAAAGTCACTTTTTGTCCACAATCCTTAGTCTTTGTTCTTTTGCATTAGGCTGAGTTACAGCGGCAGGAGGAGCTGTTGAATAAGGAGCGTAAAGAGAGGGAGCGAATCCTAACCACCTACAGGAGGAGGGTGGAGGAGCAGAAGGCCCAGGCTGAGAAGGTGGAGCGGAGGGTGAGAAACACGTGTGTGTGGTTATGATTCGTAGAAGTTGGAGTTGAAGTTGGAGTCAAAGAACTCAGTGAGATCAGTAAAAATGTATTGTACTGAACCAGTGTGTAATTTAAGGGAAAAATATGCACAGTAACCACTAGGTGGCAGAATAGTTAGTCCTCCATCTTCTTACGTTTTTTCTACTAAAAGCAGCTCAGTGATCGGTGTCGTTCAGTGATCGTTGACAGTGACTGTTGTCATCTGTGCTGCCTGCAGACTCAGAGATCAGCCATGCAGCAGGATGAACTGAGCAGTGAGGTCCAGCGCAGCATCACCAGGATGACAGGAGAGGAGAAGTCCATCTCCACTCTGGAGGAGACCTTCCACCACATCAAGGAGGCCACTGGCGTCACCAACATACACGTATGGACGTGAACAGTGTCTACAGAACCACATACCACCTGACGTGCCACGAGTAATGAGTTAGTTCACCTCCTTCTGTGTGAGCAGGAGACGGTGGAGTGTTTCATCGCACAGAAGGAGACACACCAACATCTGGAGAAGCTGAGGACAGAGAACCAGACAGTCCTGCAGCAGCTGAAGGAGCAGAAGGAGCTCCTGGACCAGCAGTTCCAGGATATGAAATATTCAGGAGAGGACAAACTCTCCAGGTGAAACGAAGACAGACACCTTCTGACCTGCTGTTGGCCAAGAGTTTTCTGTTGATCCTGATCCTGTTTTTATCTGCGTGTGGACCAGTAACCATCAGGTGTTGGAGGAGAGAGAGCAACAACTGCAGGCTCAGCAGCAGAGATGTGACGCAGCAAAGGAGAATCTGGACTCACTGACCAAGACCCTCAGTACTGTGAGAGCGGGAGTGGAGCATCTGGCTGACAAACTTCAACACATCACACTGGTAAACCTGCCAGAAGTCACTTTGATTCTCTCTTATTTTAAGTGACACTGTATATAACAGGCTTTAACCAGGGACGGTCTGGACTCAACGTTAACTCAATATTAACGCAAAATTAACTCAGTATTAGCTCAACATTAACACAAAATTAACTCAACAGTAATACAACTCAACATTAACTCAGTATTAACTCCAAATTAACTTAATATTAAGTCAACATTAACTCAGTAATAACTCAATATTAAGTCAACATTAACTCAGTAATAACTCAATATTAAGTCAACATTAACTCAGTAATAACTCAATATTAAGTCAACATTAACTCAATATTAAGTCAACATTAACTCAATAATAAGTCAACATTAACTCAATATTAAGTCAACATTAACTCAGTAATAACTCAATATTAAGTCAACATTAACTCAATAATAAGTCAACATTAACTCAATATTAAGTCAACATTAACTCAATATTAAGTCAACATTAACTCAATAATAAGTCAACATTAACTCAATAATAAGTCAACATTAACTCAATAATAAGTCAACATTAACTCAATAATAAGTCAACATTAACTCAATATTAAGTCAACATTAACTCAATATTAAGTCAACATTAACTCAATAATAAGTCAACATTAACTCAATAATAAGTCAACATTAACTCAATAATAAGTCAACATTAACTCAATATTAAGTCAACATTAACTCAGTAATAACTCAATATTAAGTCAACATTAACTCAATATTAAGTCAACATTAACTCAATATTAAGTCAACATTAACTCAGTAATAACTCAATATTAAGTCAACATTAACTCAGTAGTAACTCAACATTAACTCAAATTCAAATGTTCCAACATCACTCTCTTTCATTTGTCTAGAAACTGTTATTTATTCACTGCAAATATTTGTCTTTGTTTGTCTATGTGACAGTGACAGGCTGCTTAGTTGTGGTCAACACCACAAATGCCTAAAAACTACCTGTTCATCTCTGCAGAGCCAGGACGGGGCAGCACGAGTGTCTCCAGAGTCACAGGACTTAGTTTTGGAGCTGCTGGCCCAGAGTGAGCTGAAGCTGCAGTCACTGCAGAAGGAGCTCCAGGGGAAGGATCTGGCTGCAGTTCTGAAGGAGATGGAGGAGGAGGAGGTGAGGTGACGCTCAATGTCAGGCTGGTGTTCAGGGCTGGTGCAGCCTGTGGGAGGAGTATGGAGGAGGTGTGAGTCAGTGATAATGATGGGTGTGTGGGGAAGACACATCCTGCGATGAATCAGCCAGAACACACTGTTCTGTGTCACAGAGTGTTGGCACTGCAGCAGCGCTGTACAGTACATGTAATTATGTGTTTGTTGTTTTGCCTGAGTACAGTCACATGACCTGCTTTAAATAACTGCGTACAGCACTGATAGTGGGTCGTTAGGGAACAGGGTTCAACCTGCCGCCACGGAAATCCATCATGGAAACAAACAGCCATTAACATAGACCATTAATAAACACGTGGACATGATCTACGCCCACCTGCAAAGTGATGCCCAGGAACAAAATGTGTTGACTGAAATTGGTTTTTTTTGTTAACTAATTGTTTTCTCTCTCTTTATATATTTATATACAATATATATATAACAATTGCTAACTTTCTGTGGATGATGCATAACAGTTCTTTTTATGAAAACATAAAATAATATACTTATATATAGTACATAATTTCATATATACGATATATATGTACATGCATAAATGCCATTTATCATCTTTGATCATTGAATATCATATTTATCTATTAAACATATATATATATATATACACTATATATATATATATATTCTATATATGTATGTGCCCTCAATGACAACACATTTTGATACTATTTGGGAATCATTTTTACATGCATGAAAAACACTGTTATCACTGTTCCTTCACTTCCCATCAGTTCTCCATCAGGATTGAAGGTAAACTGCCGGACTACAACACCAGAGTCAACCCCCCCGAGGACCCCAGACTGGACCTGCAGGATAGTGGTGATAATGAGTTCTTAACATTCAACACACACACACACACACATAAAGGCTTTATTCATATCACTGTTTAAAAACATTATCTCTGTCTGTGTCTCAGAGGAGGACAGCGAAGAAGACAACGCTGACCTGGTCAGCAGGGAGGCGCTGAAGCGTCAGTCTCAGCTGATCGTCGACTCCAAATCCAAGAAGAAGCCGTGGAACAAAAGGAAGGGAAAGTTCTGATTCGACAGGTCAGACATTAGACTCCAGAGCCACAACAACCAGTGGTCAGACTCAAAAACAACTAAAATGGACAAACTGAAAAAAGGTTTCATTAATGACACTTAGTGGTGAACATGGTAACAGGGAGGTAGGACTCCAGGGTTCACCCCTCCCTGTTCCCAGGACTATTAGGAATCCATGATGACCTTTACTAACCTTTACATTTCTGTCACTTCTCTTCTTGGGGCAGAGATGTCTTAGTGGTTAAGGAAGCGTACTTGGGTCTGGAAGGTTCAGGTTCGAGTCCACTAACTGCCAAGTTATTACTGAGGTGCTCTGACCATGACACCGTCCCCGGGCGCTAACGGGTTAAATGCAGAGTTCACATTTGGTTGTGTGTAGTGGTGTGCTGTGTCACAATGACAAATAATTTGCTTTCCTTCCTTTTTTTCTTTCTCCTCCACCTTCTTCTTTTTCTTCTTCGTCTGACTGTTATTTTCTATATTTACATTAACGTCAGCGGCAGTTTAGCTTAACTTTTTTTTACTTTTAGGATCAGCTGTTATGAGATAATAATATTCGTATCCAACGCCTGTGAAGGTTCATCCATATTTTTCAGGCCAGGGAACCTAGAACTGGAGACCAGGGGCCCAAACATACCGTATATACCACAAAATTATTTTATTTTTTTTACATTATTTTAAATTGTAACTACATTAATGCACAGGTACATACAGTAAATTTTTATTTTTACTTTAATCGTGCAAAAAAAAACCCCCAAATTGATTTTGGGGTTTTTTTTTTCCATTTTACAACTTCCCCTAAAACATAGTCATGGACCACCTAGGGGCCACAAACCCCATGTTGAATACTTCAGTTGGAGTCCTTATTCCTGTGTGCATCGCAGCAACACAGTGTTGTGTGCAGACGTCACAGGTAGAGTCAACAGTTCCAGCGTCTGTGGTATGTCTAGAAGCTCGGGGCGGTCCTGCTGCTTTGTTCTCTGCTCTGTGGTTTTTCAGGCCAACCCTCTGAATGAAAACACAATTATTTTGTTCTGTGTCAGAGCCACTGGCAGAACACTGTATCTTCATACCGCAACATTGGTAAATGACAGCCGTGGTGTTCTGCCTAATTGGCTGTTTTACACACTGTGCAGAGCCGTGATTCGTTGGTGGATCACAGCCAGACGAACAGCCGTGATGGACTGTGCACACGGTGTACTGCAACATTTGTGTTTGTAAATCCAACAGGTCAAATCCAACAGAACTTTAGGTGAGTTGAGTACCTGTACTGTTGGTCATGTGAGCTGCAGCTGGAGCCAATCAGAGCTAAGTTATCCGGGATCCACGAACTTTTCATTCATCTTCTACTGCTCAGTGATTTTCACTTTGGAAACTCTAAACAGATGAACCATCAATTACCAATGGGGATTGAACAGTTGACCTTCCTGCTGTAAGGCCAGTTTGATCAACATTCAAAGTCCAAAATGAACATAATGCCATCTCCACATATGTGTTCAGAAGAATGCAACACCAGTGCTCACCACTGCTGCACCGTGCAACCTCCAGGTCACATTAATCATGGACACTTGAATAGTTTGTATTTATTTTCTCCTTTGCTGTTTTTTTGTAAGCATTTCATTGTAAAAGGTCACTATGATTGGTCACATTGGGGCTGTGGTTCAGTGGATTTATTCCTGACAGAAGGTTTAATGTTTGATATTAAATTAAAATGTAATATTCAGAAGTAAACTGCTTTTATCCTACTGTTTTGCATCTATTTAAGTCAACATTTAGTGATGTGGTCATTTGGACAAACACTAAATACTATACTCCCAAATCTGGATTCATATGATCATAAATAAAGGTGATTATAGTTTTCTCATTATATTTCTAAAATGAACTTGTCTTCAGTTTACAACCTCATCAAAAGGTCAAGGTTTATTTATAGATTTGTTTTCAGTTTAAAGTCTAAAAGAGGAAAATAATCAATGAACACAGACCAGGAAATTGCGAATAATTGAAGAAAAACCTATTTACACCGGGTTCAATCAAAAGTTCTGATTTAAGAACGAAAAGCAATTGTCTGGAAATAGCTTCTTTATTTTGATGTTTTAATTTTTTTCCCCCCCAATTTGTCTTAGACTTCAGATGATGAACTCTGACTGACTGTTTATTGTAGTAAACACAACCCTCACCTAGAAATGATTTTTGACATAATCCTCAACTAATACAAATATCTGACAAATATCTTTGTTTCATTAACCACTCTATGTAACAAACAGAAGCCAAAGACCTGGATGTGATGCTGTCGTTTCAAGATCACTGACCAATCAGAGGAGGAGGCGGAGCTTCCCTTCCTGGCCACTTCATTTGCAGCCACCTGTCAATGGACCATGTGTGTGCATGCGTGTGTGTGCGTTGGTGTGGACATGGACATGTGTGAAGGTGTTCAACTGTCACTGCTGAGAACCTGACGGAGAACGGAGCTGAGGCTGCAGCAGGTGAGAAACCACGAGAAAAACAGAGGAAAGTTACGTTTTTAGACTGAGTCAAACACTGTCGCACGTGTGTGTGTGTGTGTGTGTGTGTGTGTGGTCACAGAGTGTGTGTTACTTATTTGTTCTAATGAGATAACCTGGGACAGAGTGACAATGAAGAGAATGATAATGACATTTGTACTGACTCAGTACTCAGTTGTACTCACCCAGTTCTCACTCGCTCACTCACCCACTTCTCTGTGCCAGCTCTCATTATAGCAGGGAACAGGTTCACAGCTACTGTATGTAAACAAAGGCTGCAGTGAGGCTTCAAGCTGTGCTTTATTTAACATTTTTAATACTTAAATCTCACTTCACCAAAACCCACGTTAAGATTCAGTCACAGCAGCAGAGACATAAAACTGAGCTGAGGTACAGGTGACATATTGGTCCTGAATACATTCAAATTATTGTTGTTTAATATCTTACCATGCAGTGGAAGTTTAGTTCATTTTTAGGTTCAATTCTGGAGTTAATGAATGCAAATCTTTCAGTGCTGCTGTTGGATTAAAACCCAGATTAAGGAACGTGGGTGACGATTTAAAACAAAATGTAAAAATCTGATTTCATGTTTTTCCTCAGTAAAATCTGTTTTACCCAGAATTCACTAAGTTAGACTATATAGGCCTTGTTCCTTGTAATGAATTGGGATTTCTTTTCATTCAGTCCTCTAAGAAATTAAGTTTTTATTTATTTATTTATTTTAATCAATTTGTAAGTGTAAAATATTCTATTTTAATTTTATTTGCTGTCTTTATATTTAAATCTGGGATTATCTTTTTAACCTAAATACATTTTCCCTTTCTGTCAATAAATTGACACCAACTTAAGTATTTTTATTTTTAAACAATTCAGTATTAAACCTGTGGTTTTGCCGACTTAAATGGTCCATTAAAACTAAACATTCATAGTCTTCATTTTCTTATATTTTCTTATTTTAATACAATTGTCTACGTGGTCAGTGAAATACAGAAAACTGCAGAAAAAGCTTTGATCTTTGTCAATGGAAACACAAGGTTCTTTATTCATATATTGGTTCATAAAAAAATTCTCAGTAGAATAAGTTGATGATCAGAAATTGACTCTTTTTGTCTTGAACGTTATTTAAAATAATGCCCTGTGGCTGCAGACTGGGGGGGGGGGGGGGGGGGGAGCAAAGGGGAACAGTGTTGTTTACGCTGCAAAAATAACTCTAATAATACTGTAAATCAAACAGGAGGAGTTATGCTTAAAAAAATACTCCACTGAAGGTGAGCTTTGAGTGTCATTTAAATCAGGTGGGCGGAGCCAAATGCACACTGAGGCGTAGATATAAAACAGCAGAGACTGCACCTCTTACAGAAACACACACACACTGCTGATCCAACCCCCACACACTCTGGAACATACATGACTGTAGAGAGAGCCTCACCCACCAACAGTCAGAACGGTCGGTGTTACTGATCAAAGCCTGACTTTTTTTATCTGTCTCCATCTTCAGCTGCTGGACTTTATCTTCTGCTGGATTTGACTTTTTTTAACCATGGATTTTCAAGAGGATCAGTTTTACAGTTAAGTGATGACTTTTATTTCAGTTTTATTCTGTATTATTTTCTTCTTGGGTATTTAAATAAATTAATTGTGTTTAGTCAGTAGTGAAAATTGTATTGTAAATAACTAACAATAATATTTATAATTAATAATTATAATTTTTTAAAAATCTACAGGTAAAAGGGATGTGCAGGGAATGAGCCAGAGTGAAAAAAAAAACAACTTTTATCTTTATATAGAAATATATGAATTAAAGTGTATTTATTCATTAGTTTAAGGACAATTTCTCTTCTTTAAAAAACATTGAGGTCCAAACAGAGCTGTTTCATGGTGCAGATCAGGTCCTGGTGCCTTTTGTTGAGACTCCACTTCACAGACACACTGACAGAACAGCTCACTGGTTAAAAATGTCTCCAACTTTGACAAAATCTGAAAATATCTGAAATAAAAATCCAACTTTAAAAAAAAACATTTTTTGCAGTGAAACATTCACAGACTTTGTGACTTAAAACCTCAATCATTGTTTGGTCCAAATCTTCAGGTCTCATCTGTCACTAAACCAACGAGGCTGACGACGTGTTTATCTGTTGTGTAATTTTAGATTGAATGACAGTGAATATTTCACACCCGTCTGTAAAAACACTTCCATCTTTTATGACGTTTGACAGTCAGAAATAACTTCAACCCAGGAATGAAAATCTAAAACATTCTGTTGAATCACACAGCTATAAAACGATGAAAAAGATTTTTTTTTATGCACAGTGTGAAACTAATGAATTGATTTATGCTCTGTTTCTGAGTCAGACTTTCTGAATAGTTTTTCAAATCCAAACCCAACAGAGAAAATCACAGTTTTTCAACTGTTCATCGTGTAGCATCAAAATCACTGTGTTTCTACACTGTAGTTTCAACAACAGACTCAGTTTATAATCATCTGGATAAAAGATGGTGTCAAAAAGTCCAGCAGGAGCGAAGGAGGGCAATAAGAATAGAAATCAGAAATAAACTGATCAAAAAGGACAAATATAGAAAAAAACTAGAGAAATTTAGAAAAGTTCACAAAATCCTTAGTTTCCTGTCAAACTTCTCCTCCACGTCTGAGTGAAAAACCTCTGACAGGGAGAATCCTGTCAGTAACAAAAAAATAACTTCACCTCTAAGTCTCAAAACAGGAGGAACTTTTAGAAAATTATTATTATTATTTGCAGAATCTCAAATTTTTATTTCAATTCACTGCAATTGTGGCCATTTTTAGTCCACATTTGATGAGATTTTGATGATAATTCTGTGATAACTTCCAAGCAAACCTCCTCCTCTCAGGGGTCACCACACATGACCTCCTCCCTCCTCTATCTCCCTCGGGCCCCCTCCCCCTTATTTTCTCTCTTCTGCATGTCTAACTCTGGCTCCGAGTTTTATTTCATTTAAATTATTTCTTCATTTTTGAGGGACACATGCGTTGACCACTGCTGCCTGCGTTCAACCTACTGCGTAATATAATAGAGACCAAATCCTGCTGTGATGAAGCGTGACTAACTGAACTCCGACTCTCCTCCCCACAGATGATGCAGCAGGCGTGGGACAGATCTGAGCAACCATGTGTGTCCGTGTCTGAGAGTGTGTGTTCATCCAAGAGTGTCTCTGCCTGAGAGCGTGTGTGTGTCCAAGAGTGTGTGTTTTTGTGTGTGTCTGTGTGTGTGTGAGATAGCGTGTGGGCCCCGCAGTGTGACACAACAAGCCAGAGATGAAGATTGTTCTGCCTGTGTGTGGGGACGATGAGGAGCGCGACTCCCGCAGCCTCCACAGTAAGATGGGGAGGATGAGGAAGATGAGGAAGCTGCTGCGGCACAGTCACAGCGTGGACGTCTACATGAACTCAGAGCCTGGAGTTTGGCTCAGGAGCTTCCACCTGCTGGACACCGAGGCACTGTACGAGGTGAGTCACTGTCGCTGACTCTCATTGGCAGAGGGCTTTGGTTTGGAGATGATGGTTGAAAGACAGGAGGCTGAGCTGGAGGTGGAGGAGGTGAAGATGCTGAGATCTTCACTGAGGGGGTGGGGGGAGGCAGGATGGACCAGACCATCAGGACAGTTCAGGCGGAGCAGTTTGGAGATGAAGTTAGAGAGGTGATGTGGAGACGGTTTGGACAGGAGCAGAGGAGAGAGGGTGGAGATGATGGATGTTGGAGGTGGAGCTGTCAGCTTGGAGGGAGAGTTCTTCTGTGGATGTATGGATGTAGTAAAGAAGGATGGCTGGTCTAACAGCTGATGGTGAGGTGGAGGCAGGTGATGTTCTGAGGAGTTCTGTGACGTAGGCAAGTGAAAAAACAATGTTCTTCAGGATAGAAGTTCAGAGAAGTTTTTTGTCTCACTCTGATGAAAATTAGACTTTGGTCAAAGAATCACCAGTTCTGCTCCAGCATCTGTGTTCAACCGCTTGACTGACAACTACAAACTGACTTTAATCTTCTTTAATCTGAACTATATTTCTCTAAAGACTCAATAGCGGTATCAATATCTGATCCTGAGGAAATTCACACTTTAAGACCAAGGCTAGGATAGAAACTACAGGCACAGAAAAAAGTACGTTTGTACACACCAGTAAAGGTTAATTAAAAATGCGTTTTTAACATCAGATGGCATGACTGAATACATCTAAAAACACTGTATTAATTAATACATTTGTCAAAACTGATCTTTAACCTTATGAACCTCACGATCTGCAAAAGTTAGGCTTCACGAAGAAAAGAAAAGAAAATCAGAAAAGAAACGAGAGTGAAAGACTCTCGTTTTTTTTTTTTTGCCAAAGTAAAGACCCAGAAAAAAACTAAAAAGCTTAACACTGTGGAATAGAAGCCCACAGGGGGCGACATTGAGGCTCCCTCTGCAGTCATTGATGATGTGAATTTTGGTTTCAGCTGAAACAGAATGTTCTGTAAAACGTGCGGTCAGTATGAAGTTATAAATGAAGTACAGAATGATTTAACTGAAGCAGCTGAATGTTGTGTTTTGACCAGCTGATGACATCACTGAATACAACACAGCTGGGAAATGTCTGAGATTAAATCTTTACCAACAGGCACTGATTAAAGGCATGAATGAACAAAGAAATAATTTGGTAAAAACCTTAGCAGGAATCATTTAACTTAGTAGTCAGTTTGATGAAAATGGAACCAAACAGAATTTAAAAAAAATCAGAGAAACAATAGAAACAAATAGAAGACAGCTAATAGATAGATAGATGGATGGATGGTAAAAAAATCAGAGAAACATTAGAAACAAATAGAAGACAGCAAATAGATAGATGGATGGATGGCTGGATGGATGGATGGATGGGTTGATAGATGATGGATGGACAGACAGGCAGATGGATGGATGTACAGACAGATGGATGGATGAATGGCTGGATGGATGCAATGATGGATAGATGGATGACTGGATGGATGGATGGATGGATTGATATGTAGATAGATAGAACTTTGTTAATCCCTCTAGAGTTTCCTTTGGGAAATTATGGAAATATAACAGAAATGAACAAAAATAATAGGATTGAATTGAGTAGCGCAGAACTGGTTCCATAAACAGCTCTAACTCATGACCCCAGAATGACGCAAAATGTCAGAATCACCAAGAATGAAAACAGAGACTAAGAAAGTGAAATAAATGCCAACTCTCAGAGTAAACATCGTTGTTTTTACTGATGTAGAGTTCTAACTGTGGTCTAAGATGGTGGCTCAGGGACACCAACAGAACCAGGCCTGGGTTAACGTCACGTCACTCATCCATGTGTGTAATCTGGACTAATGATGAGGTCTTTCCTGATCCTCCGCTCCTTTTGTTCAGCATTTGTAGAAAAACGGCAGTAATGATGAGTGACTGACGAGCAGAGATTCATTAGAGGAACAAAGAAGTTCTTTGTTTTCTTTGGGCTGAGAGACCAGAGACGACCCGATCAAAGAGTCTCATCTGCTCGGATTGGCAATGTTGACCAAACATGACAATTTCATCGTTTTGGAATCAACTAGGAAGAAAGTTTTTTTTTCTCATCTTCATCCATTGAACTGAAAATTTCCCCATTTTTTTTTTTTTCTGTCACTGAGGCGGATGTTTGGGCGTAGCGTCTGTGCTTCATTTGTCCTTTGAGCAGTGCCCTGACATCAAGGCCAAGAACATAGAGTTTCACAGAAGACAATGGCAGAAGTTGCCTTGGCTGATTGATGTCCTGGCACAGACCCAGTCACAATCTGTTCTTAGTGTGAGAATGTTGGCTGCTGTTCAGCTCTTAGCTAACAACCAGAAACTATTCCTTCAGCCTTAACTGTCAGCCTGAAATTATACATTCAAGAAAATCTGAGGAAACATGTTTTTCAAATTAGTTAGTCTAGTCTCATTAGTCCTCATTGGCCTGATTAGATATACCGGACCAAGTTCAGTTTCCGCCCTGATGTCTGATATTATAAATATAACATGAATTAAAACTGTAATTTATAATGATAATGATTATAATTAGAACGGTTGAACTTACTGTGCACCGATCAACCACACAGACTAGTGAATTATGTAAGAGCTGCTGTAAAGACAGAAATACAAGATTTTACATCGTTTGAGGTTGTTTTTTTAAATTATTTTTTTCTTCAGTCCCTCTGCATCATTCTAAGACTCTGACAAGAGCAGAGTCTATTAGAAGTAATGTTGGTGGAACAAAGACTTGAGTAAATATCCAACCACACGGTTCCCAACATTTACTGCATATTTTCCAGCCCCTCCACATTCAAACATTGGGTGCTGAGAAGGGCCCAGCCCCCCACTTTGGGAACCACTCAGTTACCATGGTCTCTAAATAGACACATAGTCAGAAATATTGAAGTTTTTTTCCCAGCCATGTGTCAGGTTTGATTCTAAGGCCTATGATGTCACATGTATTAGACTAAATTTCACATTTACATTTTTACACTGAAACCTCCCAAATGATCTAAAACACAACTAGCAGGAACAGAGATAAACAGATGGGCAGCAGTCAGTCAAGTGTTGAATTTGAATGTGTGTTGAAGAGTCTGATTTGTCCAGAAGTTGCACAGGAGTCCCTTACAGAGTGGTCAGATACTTTTACAATAGTTTGATAACAAGGAATTGAGAATATTCTTTGACTTACTGGCAGTATCAGGGACGTGACCCACACCTGATGATTGAGGAAATGTTTGTTTTCACAGGATCATGTGTTGTTTTATTGACAACAGTTTTAATCAAAGATAGAAGGAAGAGACGGCCCACAAAAACTTCAAGCCATGGTGTGACTGGTGAATTCTTTCAGGGTTCATCATTGTCAGGAAGGCAGTGAGAAACTAAACCACAATGAGATTCTCTGTTGCAATAGAGCAACTTAAGAAGAAAACAAACCTGGAAATTGTTTTATTTAATTAATATGAAACTTCCTTTAGAGATTCCTGCTCAAGATAATTCATTTTGACAGACAATATTAATAACCCTGAGTGACAATGGACTGTATTGTCTTTATGTTTTGAGGGATGAAAGGATCAGTGTAAAAGATCTGAGGTCATTCTTTCTGGTGTCATTGGCAAATTTGGAGCTTTTTGCTCTGAGCTGTTTCTGGCCTAGCTTTAAATTGTCGTTTGGGCAACATTATTATTTTCTAAACCAATGTTTAGCTTGATTTGCTTTATTTTTTTGCCTTTTGTTCTTAGGGATTTTTCAGCTATGTTTCTGAATTAATCATATCTTACTACTTTAAAGCACTATATCACTTTTACTTCTTTTTCATGGATGTAAATGATAATAAGTGATGTCACCATCACTTATCTGATTTATAACATATACATTTTTGGTGCAAATTTTATTTGCATTATTGCACTTGACCCTGTGGAAATAGGACATTTGTGAGTGCCTGATTATGGGATAGATGGATGGATAGATGGATAGATGATAGATAGATGGATAGAT